GTTAAATTGGTCTTATATATATATATTATGATTCTTATGTATATTTTTAGGGTGTCAATACTAAACTCGATGATCGATTGACCGGAAAAAAATGTCAGGTTTTGCATATAAATTCTCTGGTTCGAAAAAAATTCCAGGCTTTCCAGATGGACTCAAATCGGGTTTTGGCCCAACCTGTAAATCCAATATATATATATATATTTAAAAATAGTAAATAAAACATAAAAAATTACAAACAAATCGAGAGAATCGATCCTATCCGAGCCAGAAATCTATAAAGTCGACTTCCGTTGTGATTGTGTAGATCCGAAAAAAAATTGGACCATCCCGAACTCAAATCCAAATCTCTCACGCCTGAGTGCTGGTTTGGACCGGTACAATTGACACCCATAATATTTTTTTCAAGTGGAAAAATATGGAGTGATACGTGGTTCATATACTATAATTATCCTTCTTAAGAAGTCGTTATACCGCAAAGCTACCGATACACGCATGAATACGTGCGCCATATATATATATATAAGTGACTGTGATTGATAGGATAGTGGTAACTGCCTTCTCCATCAAACCATTTTCTGTCAATACGACCAAAGCTTGTGATTTGGAGTTATATCCTTTTACATCGTCACGAGATTGTTTTTTTAAACATTGTGTAATTGCAGAGATGACAATGAATTAGTTCTCTAACTAATATCCAAATGCAACAAATTTTGAACTAGAGACTTTGATCCTAGTTGTTGTTTGGTTTTATTTTACACGATGATGTCGTATCGATATTTTTTTTTATTTCAGTTTCATTTTATAAACTGCTACATGTGTTATGATATATTAAGAATATTACGAGATATAATATATCATGAAGATCTTATCAAATCTGAAAAATAGAAAATAGTGATTTAGAAATATTTATAAATATTCGCTTTAATCTCTAATTTACTTACTTAGTTTGAGATTTTAATTTGATTATTAATAAAAAATCATTTCGTTAAGCGTATTTTTACATGCCTTTTACGTTACTAAGAATAGCTAGACCACTATATAATTAATTTCCCGTGTCATTAACTTTTTTTTTTTTGAAATAAAGCACACATGCATATATATATATATATATATATATATATATATAACTTTCTCATGACAGAACATAATGATTGCTCGCTCTACAGAACTTTGGCACACAGAAGAGAAAAGGAATGGTAGTGGAATTGTGAATGATGGGTTAAAGGAAAGAGAAAAGGAAGAAGATAAATAATTATTTATTTCATACAACTTATATATAAAAAAAGATGTGAGGTTGGCAGCTGATTTTATAAATTATTATAGACAACAATAAGAACAACAAGGATGATATAATTAATAATTATTAATAAGAAGTTGGGTGAATGTTTTCAAGGGATGAAAATTAGTCTTTCTTCTCTGTGTAGGCCCATTGTCACGTAAACTTAAGGAAATTTATTTTAAAAAATATTTTTCTACACTGCAAATTAGAAAAAAATTTTCGAAATTCAAGCAAAGTAACGATAACGGGCCTTCAGGTCCAATAAGTTAAGCCCATAGGCCCATCCATTATCATGTGGGAAGCAAACCCTAGGGTTTATAAATTCCCAAATGCCGCTTTAACTTTGAGGGTAGACCTCCGAGTAAATTCCAGATCTCATCTCAGATAATCCTATTGTCTCCCATGGGATCCGATGGTTATCGTGTGGAAAGTTTCTCTCCTTTTTCTTTTTTTTTTCCGTGAAAATTTGGGTTTTTGTTTCCTGGGCAGCTTGAATCTTGGATAATGTGATTTGGTGATTTTAGGTCGAAGCATCTGTCTATGATTCTTTAAGCTTCTCAATGTTTTTTTGGCTCAAAGAATAAGTTCTGATGCGAAATCAAACGATTTCTTCGTCGGAGTCTATGGACATGTGGAATTTCGGGGAGTTTTCCTGTCAATTCTGGCATTTTCTCGTAGATTCCACAACTGTTTTCCCGATTACAAACCCAAAATCCAAAACCATATCGTTTAATTATCTTTTGGGCTGCTCGATGATGATTCACTTTTGCTTTAACCACACCGAAAAGATGGGGATGAGAATGGGATCTTGATCTTCTGGAATCAAATCGCTGCATTTCTTGGGCTCGGGATATCTGGATGACACTTTGATCTGAAATGCTTGAAGGGTCTTTTTCCTTCGTGTTTTGGATTTTAAGTCGATAGGTTTCTCGAGCTTTCCAAATGCAGTTTGTTTGAATCTTGAAGATCATGCCTGTTCTCAGACTTTTCTCGTGTGGAAAACTGTGGCCTTTGAACTGAGAGCATGTTTTTCCGGAAAATTTCAAAGTTTGTGCTTGTTCTTCGCTAATGCTTGATTCTTGGTTTCTTCCACTGTTGATGTCGTTGAACGAGTCTGAGAGTTTCCGGCTTTGTTGGGAATGACTTATAGTTTGCTTTATGCAGCAATCTCTTTGTTCCTGTAAGGGTTAAATTGGTCTGTTGGATTTGTGTATGAGTATGTTTCTCTGGTGTTTTTGGGTCGTTTCGTGATGATGATCTTTCCTTTTTATAAAGCCTTTTACCCACACGGATAAGGAATTGGCTCTTCTTGATTTCAGCCTAAGAAGGAAAACATGATTGACTATGTGTGTTTTTTTATTATGATTCTTCCATTTGTTGATCCACGGAGAGAACTTTCCCAAACTCTTGATGAATGCATGGAACTCTCTGGCCATTTGTAGCTGCCTGCTGAAACCAGGAATCAAGATCAGAAATCAAAACACTAAACTCATAAAGCTTAATATGTAAACCCTAAACTGAAACCAAATGTTTCCGGAAAGTTGTTGAGGCTGATCCTGATTTTCTGTTTGATTATCAGTTACCAGGAAAAAGTTTTTTGAGGACAATATAATCAGCATCATGATTTAGATCGAAGAAGGTTAAATGTGGTTCTTTCAAAGTAAAGGGGTTGAACATGAAAAACTGAAAGTTGAAGGATGCTTATACAAATTTTGAAAAGGTAAGAATGACTTCCAACCGTCGGTTGCGTTTGCTGATCTCTGCGCTAATATTTTGCCACGTGCAAATCCATAGAGATTTCAGTAGACTTGACTACATTGTATCCGTGACTCAACAATTACCTATCCAACCTCGTTCAGCTCTCTCGTCTGAACTCAGACCCCCTTGAGAGAGTCTTCGACCAGACAGGCTCCTCTTCTTCTTCTTCATCATTTCTTCTCATTCTTGGGTCTTCCCCAGGCCTTTCTGTCTTTTTTTCTTCCTTCGATCACAAAGATGGAAAACCTGACTATATTGTCTTATTCGGTTTCTTCTCCGAAGCCGTTTATGGGTTGCAATTTCTGCTCTTCTTCACTCAAAAACCCTACCGGGGTTTTCACCGGTTCCGGGAACTCGCTTCGAAGCTATAGAATTGTAGTCCGGAGTTCCAGAATCTCAGCCTCCGCTCAATCTCAGAGTCGTCAATCTCGGCCGGCGACCTCGGCAGGTTCCTGCTAGTTTTCGCTTCCAATTCGATAATCATGTGTGATTTTGTTGTCCTGGTGGAGAATTACTTGTGAAAACTTGCTGGGCATATGTATTGTAGTTGTTGGTTATATGATTCCGTGGTTGCCAATGGCTGTGTACTCTTTTCGGCTCGAATTTGAACTTTAAACCCAACAACCGAAAAAAAAAGCCAAAGCTCATCAATTGTTTATTTTTGACATCCAGATGTCTGAATAATTCCAAAAGTTTTCATCTTTCTTGCTTTGATTCTGCAAATTTTGTGTTTGCTCTTTATATTTCTCCTGTAATTGTGGACCCTTTTGTGTTCTTTGAAGCAGTTATTGTGAAACATGGAGGGAATTCTTTTGCGAGTGTTTCTTCTTCGAGTGGTGAACAGACAACATCCGTTGGTTACCCTAATGTTGCAGTGCCACCATCCTCTTCAAGCATGTAATTTGAATATTTGACTGGATTTTCTTACAAATACAAAAAAAAAGTTAATAGTTTTTCTAGGGCATGTGTGTTATAGTTTATTTATGGCTTTGCACTTGTAAGCACGCTTTTGTCTACTGCTGTAGAGGATCACCACTTTTCTGGATCGGTGTTGGCGTTGGGTTTTCAGCTCTGTTCTCGTGGGTAAGTGTGATTAAGCTTCTGTCATGGTGTCTTTAGTTTTATCTTTTATGTCTATTCCTTCTACTGTCTCAGTTTAACCTCGAAGACTAAATACAAGATCGTGTTTTCATAATCGGAATGGCAGGTAACTTCAAGTTTAAAGGTGAGTATGTTCAGTGTTACTCTTCGACGAGGTACCAATTCCTTGGCCCATTATTTTGCAAAATGTTTTGCAGCTATCGAACCTTCTAATAAATGGCACATGGTTAGGACTGTGCAAACATGTCCCTAGCTCCTTGCATTTACATTTTGCTTGTGGTTATCTGTTTTGGATTCATGGATCTGAAATGTTATTCACGAGAAATATCATGTTTCACGTAACAAAAGAACTGTGCTCGCAAGGATGTGGAACGTGATTCCTTTCACATGTCTTAGGTTGTCCTTTCTGGGCGGAATATGATTCACGCATGGAATAGTTGGGTTTAACCTACAGAAAATTCTGGTTTTCGAGAGGGAAGGATTATGGACTGCACTTTTGACATGGAAATTTGGTCGTAGGTACAGCTAGGGTATAGTTGTTGTATATAAATCGCCAATACATGCATGCATACTGCTGTTTGTTTAATTTCTTTTTCGTTTTCTTTGGTTAATTTCTTTTGTCGGTATTAAGATCCTTTATAAATATACAAGGATGGAGTAGAGAGAAAAGCAGGGAAGCATCGTAAGAATCGTTTTGGTAGATGAAGGTTGAGTGTACAAAATCAGCCTAAAGTTTCCTCTATTGATCGTCGATATATATCTGAGTTCTTCTTATCAGTCCTCGCGTAAGTGGTAGATAAGTTATTGGTCTGAAAAATTTCCGAATAAGCTGAACTAAATGCCTTTATGCTTGAAAGTTATTCTTCCTCGTTTAAACACATAGAAAGACATTCTTTGATAGCTTTATTAACCAGTGATTCCACCTCTGTTATTGCCTCATAGTCAGATTTGAATTTTACAGCTGAAATATGACATGCTGGTTCTCATCATTTTATTTGGTTTAGTGTTGATGTTTTTCTTCGGTTTCAGAAATATGCAATGCAAACGGCTATGAAGACCATGATGAGCCAGATGAATATGCAGAGCAATCAGTTTAACAATCCTCCATTTCCGACGGGATCTCCTTTCCCGTTTCCAAGTCCTACACAAATGAGCTCGGCTCCTTCACCTGCTTCGGCTTTTCAAACCCCTCCCCCGTCGTCAGCTGCTACTGTCGATGTCACATTGACAAAAAAAGCAGATGAACCTCCTTCAACGAAGCCACAACCTCCCCCTCCTTCTCCAGCAGCAACAGTAGAAACAGCTAAAGTTGAAACCGAAACAGAAACGAAGAGGGTAGACAAGAACTATGGTATGTGTTTTCCTGTTTCAAGTATCTACCTGCTTTGTTTTTCTGCCATGTCTGGCTATTTCACTTTTCTATGATCCTCATTTGAATTGCAGCATTTGTGGACGTTCCTCCTGAAGAAACCACGAAGGAAAATCCTTTCAGTAACTATGAAGATACTGAAACTAGTGCTACCAAAAATACTCAAATGTTCGAGGATGTAAGTTATAGCTGGCGGTTTTTTACATCTCAGTAAAAATCGACATTTTTCTTCCATGTAACCATGAAGTTGGGTGTTTTTTCTTTTGGGTACTGGCTCTTAGGTTTTAAAGAATGGATCTTCTGCTTCACAGCCTGGTGCAAGTGGTTTTCAGTTTCCGGGTGAGTCGACAAATTCCCATTCCTTAAATGGAAACTAAGATCAACATGGAGTTGTCTTTTCAAAATGCTAACTTCCAATTATAGTAGGTTTGCACATATAAAACAGAGGGAATTAACAATGTGCACTTGTAGATTAGCCTCCATTGAATATTTCATAATCTTGATTTTTCTCTGCTTTGCATGGCAGTCTCTCTGTTTTTTGTTCTTGGTGTATCATTCATATTTTTACTTAGTTATAAACTGCGCTTATTCAGGCACAGGGAAAGGAGGGCCTGGTTTGTCTGTTGAAGCTTTGGAGAAAATGATGGAAGATCCTACGGTTCAGAAGATGGTTTACCCGTAACATATCTTCTTCTCTCCCCTTCAACTTCAAGTGAATATATATATATATATATATATATA